GGAAACGGCCTGCCACTCCAGTGCTCCCACTACTCCCTCACCTGAGGGTTAACAATCTCGCATTAGTTTCCAATCAACTGTACAAAATCAGGGATTTTAATCTGCTACCTTAAAATCTCAAATTCTGCATTCAACAAAGTATATTTTCTTATTTAATCTATTTATTTGCACTCAATTTGCACTCAACCCCATGGATGACATCCTCTCCCATGGAATCAAATGTGAATCGCACAATGTTGTAAAAATCATAGCCCTTTTAGATCATATGTTTCTCAATAATTTTTAAACTTTCAATTGGCTAAATGGAAAAGTAAATAAAGATTAGAGTTAAAATCATCACAATTTTTGACATTTAAAACTGTATAAAATAAAATCAATTCTTCACAAAACCAAATCTCATTGTAGGGAGAAGGCTAAAGAAGAATACTCATGAGAAGGATATGACAAAACACAGATTTCATATATAAAAATAAGTTTACAAAACAAAAAAAGAAAAGAACACAACTTATCTCACACTCCTTCCCAAGAGAATCCCTAGAAGTTCCCCAAAAGAACATTCTCTTATTACACTCACACTCAATTCCCTCCTATAAATGTAATGAAGATGAAATCTCTCACCTCCATCTCCTCTTACAACCTTAGAAAAAATCCTCTCTTCTCCAAAGCCTTCGTCTCACTCTCACTCCCCACACACACCACACACCATTTTTGCCCTTGACTTCCCTCTCTTTTATTAGAGGCTGCAACCCTCCAAAAATAATTCAAAATTTCCTCCAAAAGTCAAACCTTTTGAATTCTAAAAGATGTGTCCATTGATTCAAGTGACATACCCCTTCATTAAAGAGCCTTCCAAAGTGTCTGAATGCATTGAATCACTCCATGAGGCGTTTGAATCATTTGAAGCCTTCAAAATCTATTCAAAATTTTTCAAGAACTACCTTAATCCATTTTATATCGTCTTTGTCACCTCAGATGCCACCCTGCAGTAGCTCCACTATTTTGCTCTGTTTGGCTCCGTTTTAGCTCCATTTCACCCCATTTCAGTTGTGTTTCGCTCCTAACAGATATACCAACAAAATAAGCATGAAAATTTTAAAGTTTAATTTTATTCAAAACAAGTGAGAAATGTAAAGTAGATTAAGCATATATAGACATATCGAAATGTGTAAAGTCAAAATTTTATTTTTTGCTAGTTTTTACCCAAATTGCACCATTTTTGCTTCATTCTCTCCAAAAGTTTATTTTTTAACCTGAAATAAAAAATATGCAAAATACCTTCCTTTAAAGTGTAATATAATTAAAAATCATTAATATTGAGAATAAAATGTATATGAAAAAGTATGTAATTTTTAGGTGTGTCAAAATCCCCCAAACTTGAACGTTACTTGTCCTCAAGTGACTCTTTTACTATATAAAAACATGACTTAGGATAGAGATTAACTTATAAAATTCTATACTTTGTTTTAATAGATAAAATAGTATAATTTAAGAAATCTTTTTTAGATTAAAACTATCAGTATAAGAATACTTAGTAATCAAATCTAAGATTTATGAATCTCTAATTATTTCAAGAAGAACTATAATTTGATATATCAATGAGACTTAGAATATCCATATGGAATAGAATTGCATGAAAATTTTACTATTTAGGGTGCTAATACTCAATTAAAAGTTTAGAAAATGTAATAAGACTTTTTCTTCAAGTTGATTCAAGTGAAGCCAATTTTTGATTAGGCATCTCCTCAAGCTTCACCTCACATTCCTTATTTTTTCTTTCTTATTCTTTTCTTTTTTTTATTTAGGATCTTTTCAATCCTTTCTTTTCTTTTCTTTTTCAAGTGAAAACTACTATATCTAGATAGACTTTAATAATTTTGAACTTCACTATCCTCTTCTTAAAGTTAAAACTTTTTAGCTTTCTTCATTTTATAAATTCATATTAGTTTTGATGATTTTTCATAATGTCTCATTATTTTCTTCTTACATGAAACTCTAAATTCTTAATACTTCAAAAATACAATTTCATTTACTTTAAATAGAAAAATATAGTCTTCTTCTTTCATAATAAATATCCTTAACTTTAAAATTGACCTTTGTTATTAAAAAATTTTACCTAAATTTATCATAATATTTACTAACATAAGTATAGTCATTTAAATTTAAATATAATAATTTAAAGTTAAACTCTAATATCCAAGGAATCAATTTTAAAAATATAGTTAATTAACAAAAAATAAAATTTAGCTTACTCCTTTTTAAAATAAAATTTTCTTTCCCCCGAACTTGAATTTGTAAATAATTTACATTTAATTCCATTAAATGTAAGAGGAGAAAAAAGTAAAAGTTGAATCTACTAACTACTACAACATCCTGTCAGAATGACTGTATGATAAAATAAATATAGCCTTGCATAATCAGGAAAGAATGACTGTATGATAAAATAAATATAGCCTTAAACATGCTTTCAATAATATTAAACTAAACAGAAGTATACGAACTTTAAAATTAAATTTTCTCCCACACGAAAGTATACGAACTTTAAAATTAAATTTTCTCCCACAAACATGATTTTAAACATGTATAAAATTCAATACAGAAAATATAAGCAGGAAAAAATTCAGTTCAGAAATTCTATCTATGACAAACATCTACAAGTATTCATCAAGACAAAAGAATATGAAATAGAAAGTAAGTCTAAACTAAAACATGCTCGATAAAATGGAAAGAAAGGTCTAACAAGCAGAACATGTATCAGC